TAGACAGTTGTGCTGAACCACTTCTCTTGAAAAATCCCTTTTTTGATAAATGATACAAATACATCAAATACATCAAACATAATAATATGACTATTTGGTGTGTTATCATCTAACTAAAACAATACAATTACAATTACATCTAACAAAAATACTGACTTTTCTTTCAAGTTGAAGAGTATTACTATTTGGTTTTACAACATCGTTAATATGAATAATTATTGAACATGAATTGATTTTAAATAAATTGTTTAGAATTCTTTTAGAAGCAGAAGTTTAGTGAAAGATATTTAATAAATGATGTTTTTGAATAAAAAAGATATTAAAATTAAATTATGGTCAATTTTTATTCGGCAAATCAATTAAATTTGATAACACTCATTTGTAATTTAATTATTAACAACGTATCTCATCTGTTCAAATAATAGATGATAATTTAATTGTTTTATTTTTTTTTTTTAAAGATTTAAAACACTAATGATTATAATTTGTTCAAATATATAAACAAAATTCTTATTTCATTCATCATCACTAAATTTACTCTCATTTTTATGGATTAGAGTATTTATGAATTATGATAAGGTGTGTTAGATTGAGTTTAGAAGGATTTAGTGAATGGTATTAGAATTTGTTCATTTTGATTAATAATCTTCATCAACAATGCTTTTCATTAAATTAATAATAAAATCAGATAAAAAGTTAAAACAACAAACTAAATCATCATAAAATATAGTGTTTGTCTGATACTCTTTTTTAAATACTGCAGTTCTTCCACTTTAAATCTTTTATTTATTTCTTTATTTTGATTCTTCTTTTATTTTATTATATTCTTTTATTTTTAATCTAATTGAATCTTTGACTTAATCCACTTTCATTTTATTTTAGACTGAAATGTTTCTTGTTCTATACTATCATTTTTCTTTATTTATTATTTATTTCTTCATATCCTCCTTTTTTATTTTATTTCTTATTTTCACTTTAGGGGATTCGAAGGTAGCACGTCAAAGACACCACACAGATCCCTAAAATATTTCCTTCCTTCGATTCCCCCAGTTATCATCTGGTTATGGCGTTATATTTAGTTAGAAAAACATCTTACTCAATACTGCAAGAATAACACTGTTTATTATTTACAATGATGGGATATCATTGATAATAAAAGAATGGGTATTTATAAAGATGTTATTATTACTTGTTAGAATACAAGTATATTTGATAATATAAGATTATCAAAGGAAAAGGGTCTAGTGGTTGAGGATAAAAAGAATATTAACCCATAGCAATACAGTAGTAATTATATACTCTCCTTAAAATAAGAAAATAAAGAAGAAGAAATTTAAACACATCAAAATTAAAAAGAAACTCAAACACATCAAAATTAAAAAGAAATCAAATAATGAATATTTAAATAATTGATGTTTAAATACTCTATTCCACATCAAAAATGAGAAAAGGAAAATCTCACAGTTCAACAACTAGAAGCAAAGAATAAGGCAATAGTTGAGGAACAAATACATTTAAACGAGGGACGGGATTAGTCTCCCCTGAGCAAGGAACAATATAAAATATTTCTATTAATACTTAATTATCTACTCTTTATTTTATTCTTATTTTCACTTTAATTTCTTCTTTGTCATTATTCTATATTTCTTATTGGTTATACTTTTATTATCATTATATCTGATCATGTTTTTCTTATTCTTTTTTTCATTTATTATTCTCTTTTTAAACCCTTTTTCATTGTATATCCTTTACCATCCTTCTTACGTATTATTACTTTTTCATTTACTCTTCTATATCCCCCGAATAATTTGTATTGCTTGTTTTCATCATAACACTCAAGAACTTAATTCAATAACAAAATAATATTATTTGTTAATACTTTGAACTGAAAAAGAATCTCTGAAAGAATAAGAGTAATTATATTTTCGTTAGTTATACAAAAACTATAAAATAATTTAAACAAAAACACTTTTATAACAAAATTAAAGAAGTGAATCTGACAAATGTAACAAACAAATAGACAAAAAGATAGTAATTAATTTAACCCAAGGCATCTATCAATTGTAAACTATATCAACATAATAATAACCTTGAAAAATTTTTAAGAATAATAACTATTTCAATAAAACACAATAAATAATCAAAAAGAATCAATAAAAATAGTAAAATATCTTCATTAAGGCACAAAAACAACGTAAAAAAAGCGTAATAAATAAGACATAATTTATAACACAATATTGTAAATATGTTGGGAATAAAAAATGAGGGTAATAAGAAATAACCTTTATTGAGAACATACATTAACACAAACAATAGTTATCAACGTGCAACGACCTTTGTTATGGCTTAATAAACTACAAACCACACACACCATTATTTAAGATAATATTTGGTATTAATAACAATCTTTCAAAGAATTTCTAATGCTCCAAATCCTGGTTCATCATAAGTACTGACTTTTTCAGATACACACCCACTCCTGTTTTTTAAATCAAATTCATGAAATGAAAAGTAAGGTGCTCAGTGGAAATAAAAAAATTAAAATAATATAGATTAATTTACCGATAATGATGGCAAAAATGTCTAAAATAATACATCAAAGAAGAAAAACTAAATAGAAACCATACTGAAACTAAAAAAATAATAAATGATCTAGAAAGGGTTTGATGAAAAACAACTACTTTGTTTAATCGTCGAATCGATGTCAGCTCCACAATGGTTTGTTCCAGTTAAAGCAGGTGATGCTAAAGTTCCAGCTTATTACCCAACCGACGATATGATTCAAGAACAAAAGAAGAAATTAAGAACAAGAAAAGGAGCTAAAATAACAGCTCTTGATAAACCAGCATGGAACCTTGAAAAATTAAGAAAAAGTATTGTACCAGGTGCTATTCTTATTATTGTTGCTGGTAAATATGCAGGAAAGAAAGTTGTTTTCTTAAAACAATGTATTAAATCAGGAGCTCTTATTGTTACTGGACCATTCAAAATCAATGGAGTTCCATTAATGAGAATTAATCAAAGATATGTTATTGCTACTTCTCAAAAGGTAGATGTTTCTAAAGTTGATACTACTGGTGTAGATGTCAAATTCTTCAAAAAGATTGCTATTAAGAAAGCTGCCTTTGGAAAAACTGTTGAAGAAGATTTTGCTAAGAAACAATATGAAGCTAAGAAAGCATTAATTGTCGAAAAACAAAAACAAGTAGATGAAAGTATTGTTGCTGAAATTAAGAAAGTTCCATACCTTAAAGAATATATGGCTTCTTACTTCACACTTAAGAATGGTGACCATCCACATCTCCTTAAATTCTAAGTTAACTCAATTAAATCTTTAAATGATTCTTTTGTTCTACTTTCAAAGTTTTTTTTCTTTATAATAATTAAATTAATAAAAAAAAATAAAGAAAAGATAAAATCAATTATTGACGTTCTGGTAAATTTAATGGGAAAGAATTATATTGGTTCATTGCTTGAACGATATTAAAGAGGTGGTCACTTACTTCATCTTTTGGATCAGTTTTAGACCAAACTCTTTCAAAGAATTCAACGTTAAAGAATAAACTAAATAAATCTCGTAATTTGGATAAATTCTTTGGTGAAAGACAAGGACGTAATGTTTGAATTAATTGTGTTTTAATTTCATTATTTAATAAATCAACAAGATTTTTAAATCCAGCTTGAAGAAATTCTGCTTTTTTTAATCCAAAATATCTAAATAATTGATCAAACATAGTAAAAGCATTACGAAGAGGTTTATCTAATGCATAAATTTGTTCATTTGAAATGTTTTTATGTTGCCATTCCATATAACATTTAGCAACTAATTTCATTATAAACTTTTCATATTTTTTTGCTTCTTCTTTTCCTGCATCAATTTCAATTAATTTTTCTATTGCCTTTAATAAATTATTCATTTCATCATTCATAACAAAACTTGCACTTCCACTTCCTCCAACTGATGCAACAGTATTTCGTGTAATTTTATCCATTAAACTTCTTTTAGATTTCTTAATTAATGTTTTATTTGGAGCAGGTTGTGCAGTGAGTTTACAATGTTTTTCAAAGGTATCAGTCCACAATTTAAAAGTATCAGTACTTCTAATTCAATAAGTGTTATTTTATTTTACCCAAATAAATCTTTTCTTTTTTTATGTTTTAAATATCTATTATTTACTATATATTATAATAATTTTATTATAATATTATAGTAAATTGAAAAAGAAGTAGAAAAAATAACAAACGTTTTAAACTGATTCACTGTTGATCCAACAGTTATATGAAATGAATTTTTATGTTCATTTAATTTATCTTTTGGATCAGTATTTAATACTAATCCAGCTAATTCTATTGATCCTTCTGGTTTATCATCAAGTTCAGTTTTATAATAATATAATGTAGAACCATTGACAATAACAAATCTTAATTTCCATTTCTTCTTTAATTTACATTCTAAATACCCTTCAAACATATCAGTAATTGTTTCGCTCATAAAAAATAAATTAATCTACAAAAAGAGATCTTTTGTGGAAACTTTTTCAAACAAAAATAAAAAACAGAAAGAAAGAATATCGAAAAAAGAAAAAAAGGAAATTAATCAAAGTTGTCCTTGATATTTATTAACACTTAATATATCTCCAATAGCTCCCCACTTTGACCATCTATATTGAAATATAATATTCCATAATAATAATAATGAAAATTCTATAATTATTAAAATTGTTGATAAAATAATATCTATTCATTATTATTTTTTATTTCAATTTATTAAAAACAACAAACATTTATTTCTATAACTAGCTAATGGTGATACATATTTGAATAAAAACCAAATTAATACCATCCACATTATTGGCATAAAGAAGAATCCACAAATAAATAATATTTTACAAATTTTTTTTGCTTTGATATTATTAAGGGTATCAGAATGAAAGAACATTGAATTAAATGAATAAAGTTCTTCTTAGAAAATATAAAATAAACAAATAATCAAAATTCATTTATTTAATATATTGAAGATATTGAGTATTGAAAAGATTTTCATAATACATAATACCTTCTTCTGATTCATCTCGACAAATTAATTCATTTTGTTCTAATTGATCCATTAATGATTTAACAATTGCATATTGAACTCCATAATGTTGTGCAATTGTAAAACTACTAATTTTTTGTGCTGATTTTAATACATTAAGAACAGTGTTTTGAAAGTTTTCTAATGTAAAATCTCTTTCATGAATAATTAATGATTTATTGATATTCATTAATCCAACATATTTACCTTTATTATTAAGTAATTCACATGCATTTCTTAGTTCTTCTGGACTAACTAAAGTACCACGAGCTCTATTGTAAATAGCATATAAATCAGGTAACATTATTGCCATTTCTCTTTTTTTTAGAAAATATAAATGACAAAATTCATCAATTTCATCCATTAATGCTTCTTCATAATTATTTCCATATAAATTTCTTGTAACAGGTGCATTAATAACGAGATATGTTATTAATGATTGATATTCTTGATTTTCTTTTTCTAGAATTGATTCTTTTAAAAATTTTGTTGCTATTTTATCTAATTCATTATAACATTGTATCATCATATCTAATGATTGAAATGCAATAGAAAAGAGTTTGTCAATATTATTTCTATCTTTTTCTTTAGATTCAATATATGATTTGATTCTGTATTGTGTTGGATTAGACATAAAAAGTAAATCTCTAAATAAACAAACTGAAAATAATAAAAAGAAGAATGCAAATAAATTATATTGAAACAATTTATTCAATAAATAAATTTAATATATATTCTACTGAATGGAATGTTGAAAAACCACAAGCAATGATTATTTTAATTCATGGATTCTGTACTTATGCTGGTGTGATGAAAAGAATGGCTAATATGTTAGTTTCACATAATATCTTATTATGTATGCCAGATTTACCTTATCATGGAAGATCAAGTGGTGAACCAAAAGGATGGGTAAATTCATTTACTACATTTACTGAAATATGTAATAAATATATTGATCAAGTAAAAGAAAAATATAATCCAAATGGGATAATTCCAATATATATTATGGGACATTCAATGGGTGGATTAATTGTTTCAATTATTGGTCGTCAAAGAAAAGATTTAAAAGGAGTAATAGGAAGTGCACCAGCATATGAAATTAATAATATTATAGTGATATTATTTTATTTAATAATAGTTATTATCTTATATTTTATTCCTAAATTATATTTACCATTACAATATTCTGACAAAGAATTTCCACGTAAAGAAGTTCGTCAAATGTTTGAAGAAGATCAATATGTTACAAAAGGTAAAATTTATCTTAAAACAATTATTGAAATGATAAAATATGGTGAAAGAGAAAAATATAGTGATATATTTATACCATTTTTATTAATTCAAGGAATAAATGATGAATCTGTAACAATGAAAGGAGCTCAAATTAAATCTACTCATTTAAAAAATCAATATAGTCAATTTATAATTTATAAAGATTGTATTCATTGTCTCTATGAAGAAAAAAATTTAAAAGAACAAATAATTAATATTATTAATTGGATTCAAAAAGTAAATAAAAACCATAATTAATAATAATGAAATAAACCACTTTTATATGATATTATTTATTCTTCATTTTTTTTACTCATTAAATATTCATGCATAGCTTCTACAGCAATATAAGTATCACCAACAGCATGAACAATTGATTTTGGTCCAGTAACACAATCTCCTGATGCATAAATACCTTCAACATTTGTTTGGAATTTATCATTAACTTGAAGAGTTTGCCATTTAGATAATTCTACATCTTTACAACATTCAGTTTCAACTCCTTGTGAAATAGCTTGAATAACCATATCACAATCAATAATAAATTCACTACCTGGAATTGGAACTGGTGCAGCTCTTCCAGATGCATCAGGTTCTCCTAATTTCATTTTAATACATTCAATTCCTTTAACTTTTCCATTTTCATCTCCAATAATTTTAGTTGGATTACATAATGTCATCATAGTAACTCCTTCTTCTTTTGCTTCTTCTACTTCTGATGGTGCAGCTGGCATTTCATTTTCTGATCTTCTATAAACAATAAATGCTTCACTTCCAAGTCTTCTTGCAACTCTAACAGCATCCATAGCAGAAAATCCTGCTCCAACTACTGCAACTTTCTTTCCAATTGTTTTTCTAGCAAATGTATTAATTGATTCAAGATATGGAATAACATGTTCTACACCAATAAGATCTTCTCCTGGAATACCAAGTACTTTTCTTTTTAATGTTCCAATTCCTACAAATACTGCATCATATTCTTTCTTTAATGTTGTAATATCATCAACTTTAGCATTTGTTCTAAATTCAATCCCTAATCTTTTAATTCTATCAATATCTTCATCTAATTTATCTCTTGGAAGTCTATATGGTGGAATACATAAAATCATCATTCCTCCTAATTTATGTTTTTGTTCATAAACAACAACTTTATGTCCTTTTAATCTTAAAAAATATGCTGCAGCTAATCCAGCTGGTCCTGATCCAACAACTGCAACTTTTTTACCTGTATCTGCTCCAATATCTATTTTAATATCTTCTTCTGTTGAATATGTAATTGCTGATCTTTTTAATTCCATAATCTCAAGTTCTCCACCTCTTCTTGCTTTAACACATTTACTTTGACAATAATGTGGACAAACTCTTCCACAAATATTTGGAAATGGTAATCTTTTAAGAATAATACTAACTGCTTCTGTATATTTTTCTTTTTTTAATTCTGAAATAAATCCTGGAATATCAATATGTGCTGGACATGTTGGTACACATCCTGGTTTCTTACATCCAAGACATCTTGATGCTTCTGTTTTAGTATCTTCTTTAGTATATCCAACAACTACTTCTTTCCAATCATTAATTCTTTCTTCTGGATTACGCATAGGAACTGCAGTTCTATTATAATTAGCTGCCATTGTAAATCTTTTACAATAATTAATCTTTAAGTTCTGTTTAAATATTATTTTTTTGTGGAATCTTCTTTCTTTTATTGAACTTTATTAATTCTTTCTTCTTCTAATTTATCGGGATATTACCTATTTTTTCTTTGTTTCACTTCTATTTCGAAACTGTGAATTTTTTATTGAACTATTTATTTTAGAACCTTCTTTTCCTTTGTTTTTCTTGTGAAATATATATAAAATATTCTGAAAAATTGTAATTTTTGTGGAGTTTTATTGAATATATTTATTACTATATTTTATATTACTTTTTATTATATTATTCTATATTTCATAAACGGTTTTTTCTCTTCTTTTTATTTTATTCTTTGTATATATAACACATCCTCTTTTTACCTCTAATCCAAGTTAGTTAAGTCTTGAATATACCTTTTGATTGGCACATATCCTAATATCTCATTTCTATATTCTGCTGTATCACTGTTTTAAACAATAACCCAAAATTAAAAAAATATAATACACTTACCACTTGAAAATAATAAACAAGTAATAGGCAATTATTGAAATAATTGCTAAATCGTATTTGGTTTGTTTAAAGAGTGTATTCTATATAATCATTAATTTAAGTTCATCTTAATTAGTTAGTTCTTAATGTTTAATTTAATGAAATAATACAATCTTTATCAATGAGCCAAAACCATCAATGATATCAGTTATTATTAAATACTTGAAAGGTGTTTTGTCATAAAGTTGATATAAAAGAGTGTTGTAAGAAAAGTATCTGGCAACATTTACTTAAACTCACTTTAACTACAATAAAGAGTAGAATGAATTTGGTTTTGACAAATAAAATAAAACTTATAAGTTTTAGTTAGAAAGAAATTAGACTTATTACATTTATTTATCTGTCAGTAAAAAAATAACATATGATATGATTAAGTGATGATAATAGTTGAGTTAAACTCATTAACTAGCTGTTTTTAATCTTATTTTATTCTGTTTGTCATGTCAGAGTTAGAATAATGTGGTTTACATAAAAAGAAGTGATATATAAAATAAACACTTTATTTACCTGAACAAAAGACACTCTTTGGTTTTGATAATTAGTACCTATTTGCTAATAATTCTTTTGATAAACAAAATAAAGAAATAAGATTCTTTTATCAAAGAATCTTCTTCTTATTCATTCAGAGTAAAATGATTTAACCATTCTAACTTAAAAATAATATAATTATATGAAACTTAAATAATGTTGTTCTTAATAACAGTTTATTTTATTATCGTTATAAAAAACAAAAAACATATGTTCTGAAAATGTCATTTTTAATTCTCTTTAAACATGACCTCTTTTAATACTATTTAACTTTTTCAAACTGAAACTCAAAAATTAATTAAAAATATGTCACGACTTGATGTTAGTTCTTTGATGGTTGTTGTTGAATATTTCAATGAGTTTAAGGCATTGAATGAATTTGTTTTAGTTAATAAAAAATGTCAAGATGTATTATTATCATTTAAAGTTAATCCTGAAATCCATCAACATATAACACCTAAACTACTTCGTTTCTTCCCTCACATACAAACACTTTCTTGTTCTTTTGAAGATTACCAACAATATCAAATCATATCTGAATATGATTTGTACAGGTTTAGAATTGAAAGAATTCCATTTGAAAAGATTTTGCCATTTTATAACAAAATATCGACATTAAAAATTGGAGTGTATAATGGAACTTCACCTACTCTTCCAAGTCAATTTGATACAAAAAATTGGACATCATTACGTTCACTTGAAATCAATGCAAATTCTCAAATTGAGACTTTAGAATATCCAGGAACTCTCACTCGATTAAAAATTGCTGAATGCAAAAACTTAAAAAGTATAATAGGGTCTAATCAACTTAAAATGTTGCGACTCTATGATTGTAAGTCTATTTCAGTGATACCTAATGTAAGTCTCACTCGTTTAGAAATTATGAAATGTAATTCATTTGAATTTATTGATGTAACACATTACATAGAGTTAAAACATATTATTATTAGTGAGTGTTTTTCTCTTTTAGAACTTTCAATTCCTAATTCAGTATCAACATTAGAATTAGATGGATGCAAATCATTACAACGATTAGAACTTTCATCGAATCTTTCAAAAATCAATTTTTATTATTGTAACAGAATTAGGTCATTTAAAATTCCTACAAAAATAACATCTCTACGTCTAAGTGATTTTGGACTCTTATCAAAAATTGAGAATATTGAATTGTGTAAGAACATCCAAGAATTCAAGTTAGTGAATTGTAACCAATTAATAAATTTCAATATTCCATCAACGCTTCATACTCTTGAATTAAAAAATTCTTTGTCACATTATAAGAAAATTGATCTTTCTCATGTTAATAATCTTATATCAGCTTCTTTTGTTGATTGTTTAACTCTTGAAGAAATTAATTTCCCAATGCACTTTTCTAATTTATTCATTGATCATTGTGAAGCCATAGCAAACCTTCTTTTACCATCATCAATGACTAAAGTAAATATTACAAAATGTGGTTTATTACAAACTATTAAAACTAAAGCAAAGTGTGAATTGATTGTTCAGCAATGTAACATTTTATTTAAGTTAGAAACACCAAATATAATAAAATGTTTCTATTACAATTGTCCATTGTTATCAGTGGAACAGTTCAACACTAATAATGACAACATAGCTATTAAGTTATCGTCTCTATACTTCTAATTTATTTATCTTCTTATCATTAAAAAGTTACCATATTAAAAATTTCTTAATAAAAAATTTTCAGTAAAATAAACCATTAATAAAATCAAACTTTTATTGGAAGGTAAATTACTCTTGATTGAATTTCTAAAAAAAAGATGAACAACAGGTAATATAATTCTTTTGGCTTTTCTATTGCACAGTAGTCAAGTAGTTGTTAAACAGACACACACACGATAGTATCTCCGCTGTTCTTTCAACAAAACATTCAAAATTATGCTTTAAGGAACAAAGTCTCTGAAAACTAATTCATAAGACATTACAGAAAGTCATGTAAATAAAATCTATGATATCTCTTCAACCTAAACAGAGTAATGACAATTAGTTTATAAGCGGAGATTAGTAAAAATATTAAAAAGAGGGCCTTTAATAGGAAGTTCAAAACCCCAACAGTTTTTAGCGGAGATCAAGACTTAGAAAAGTTAATCTCCAACGTTACAAATTGCTGGACATTTTTTAATTATAAAAATTCATAAAAAACACAAGAATATTCTTACAGTTCAATTACGTAAACTACAAAGATTTAAAAATATGGGGGTTGAATTGTTTTGGAAACTTCCAAGGGAAGAAGAGAAGATAAAAAGGAAAGAATTAAAAGATGAAATAGAAAAGAGGAAAAGGATATGCAATCATCAATAGAAATGAATGAAATAGGGAATCTTGTTTGTGAAACACCAAATAATGAGAAAAGAAGTGAAGAGAAATATATAAAAGAAAGAAAAGAAAGAAAACAAGGGAGAAATTGGACAAAAGAAGAAGATAAAAAATTAATAAAAGGAGTAGAAATATATGGAGAATCTAAATGGGTAGAAATATCAAAAATAGTAGGAAGTAGAACAAGAAAACAATGTAGAGAACGATATATTAATCATTTAAAAAAGAATATAGATACAAGTAAATGGAAAAAAGAAGAAGATGAAATTATATTACAACAACATTCAATAGTTGGAAGTCATTGGTGTTCAATTGCATTATATTTAAATAACAGAACAGCACGATCGATTCGGAATCGTTATTATTCATTAATTAACAAACAAACTAACACATCATGTTTTAAACCAACAACTTTGACTCATTATAAAATATTAACTTCTTCTTCTTGGTTTTAATTCTTCTTCATCTTTGTTTTTCTTCTTTTTTGTGATAAAAAAAATGTTATTGTAATTATTATGATTAATGCAGTACAAAAAAGAATTCTCAGTAAATGATATCTTAGTTTTTATTGGTTGTATTTCTCTTTTTTGTTTCTTTGATTCTCTCAAAACAATGAATAACAATAACAAATTCTATTGATACTTAATTTATTTTTGTTTTTGAAACAATCATTAAAAGAGAATAAGTTGTTTATTTTTAAAACCGAAATTATCTGTGGAATAAAAGTAAAATAAAAAAGAGTTGTAGAAATAAAAACATAAAAAAAAGTAATAGAAGGTATGAACAGAATTAAACTCAGTGTTAATTATTGAAAAAGAACCAAATAAGCATAAGAGTAGCTAAAAATTAATTTTTTCTTTAAATTTATAAATTTTTCTTTTTGAAGTTATTTTAATTAAATTTTTGGTTTCAAAATAATTTATAAATAGAATTATCTTTAAATTTATTAAAATGATTTTTTTGTTAATCATTACAACACTTGGACATCAATGTATTTTTAATGAAATCAATAAAAACATTAAGAAAAGTGTATTACCAACACTAAAATCAGCAAGAGAGAGTAGTGCTAGTTGGCATCCTCTTCGATTTAGTTATGATTTAATAGGATTAACTGATCAGTCATATGCCAGTCAGCCATGGTGCAAGTACGCTGGTGAGACAATTGTTCTATCCTCATCGAACATTTATAAATGTTCAGAAGATGATGTTTTAACAAAAGAAAAAATTGAGTATATTGATGTTTGTTTTATTAATCTTATTAAAGAAATATCATAATATTTATATAACAGAGATTGTTTCAAAGTCTTAACCAGAGTATTTCCGAAATTTTTAATGTTCATACAATTAATTATAATAAAGTTATTCCTGGTAAAAAACAATGTGGGGAAGCTGTATTTCCTAGGGCATATACTATCCCAGAAGAAAGTGATTTCCATATTATGGTAACTTCACATCCACATACTTCTTCTAGTGTATTTGCTTATGCTGCTGCGTGTTATTATGGCATAGATAGTCAAGTAAACAAACGACGTTCACTAATGGGATATGTAAATATTGTTACGTCAGCATTAGAACCAACTGAAGAACGTTTTAGAGATCAAGTTGGAATTATTTTTCATGAAACAATGCATGCACTTGGGTTTGATGGTAGCCTTGGTGTAGATAAAAAAGTTGGAAATTTGAATTTAAAAGTTGTAGAAGATGAGGTTGTTGTTGTTCGAGCAAGAAAACATTTTGGATGTGATAATATGACGTATGTTCCTCTTGAAGATGGAGGAGGACCAGGTACAGCAAATGCACATTGGGAAAGAAGAATTTTTATATCAGAAATCATGAATGGTATTACTTCAAATAATCCAAGAATCAGTGAAATAACATTAGCTTATTTTGAAGCTCTTGGAGTTTATAAACCAAATTATGAAATGGCTGATGCCTTATCCTGGGGAAGAGGTGTTGGATGTTCCTTTTTAGAAGATTGTTCTAAATGGCCCAAACAAAATGGATATTATTGTAGGACTGGTGTAAGAAGGTGTACTAATGATCGTTCTGCTATCGGTATATGTGATGGGAATTCATTTAAAGAAACGTTAAATCAATCATATCAACACTATGGAGATCCACATGTTGGTGGAAGTGATGAAATTGCTGATAATTGTATATTTGTATCACCTATTGAAACTAGTTATTGTTATAAAAAAATGAGTTTATTATCATTTGACTATTACTTTACTTTAGAGATGCTTAATCATGGACAAAATTTTGGAGATACTTCAATGTGTTTTGAAAGTTCATTAATTAAATTTATACCTTATGGAATTAATAACTATCATTGTTATTCAGTTGCTTGTATGAATAATTCATTTTATAAAATTTCAATTGATGGTAGATATTACGATTGTGACAAATCAATTAAAGTTCGTGGATATGGAGGTAAATTAATTTGTGCAGATCCAAAAGATATTTGTGGTAATAGAGTTATAGAAACATGGCCTGAAATTGATTCTGTAGAAAATAAAACAATTTCAGTTGGAGATATTTTATTTATTAATGGAAGGAATCTTGATGTTGTTCAAAAAGTATATATTGATTATACTTCATGTAAAATTATTAACAAATCAAAAGAACAACTTCAAATAGAAGTTGATTATCGTGACCCATTTATATCATTTACTTCATTTGAAGCATCGTTAATGGTTAAAGTAAATGAATCAGTAAATTCTTGCTATGATCATTTGATAAAAATTAAAGTACCGTATCATTATATTTTCTTAAATTTTGGAGATTGGGTAATGACCAACTACATTTTTATTGCTGTCATTCCAGTATGGATTCTTTTCTTTATATTACTATTTGGATATTACATATTAAAGGTCATAGTAATAAGACAAGCAGAGGAAGTTCATGAAGCAAAACGAGAGATTAATCTTCGTTTAAATAAATTTGATAACAAACCACAAAAGAAAAAGCAATGCTTTTGTGTTATGTTTTAATTAAAATTGTTATTCAATTTTATATTTTGTTTTTTGTACTAAAAAGGAACTCTTAATCTTTTAAAAAATAATTTAAATCTTCTCACAATGACATTACTAATGGTTGCTGAAAAACCACTTCTTGCTGAGTCTATTGCAAATTTTTTAAGTTTAGGTCCTGTTAAAACAAGAAAAGGAATAGCTCCTAGTTGTCCTGTTCATGAATTTAATTGTAAATTTAAAGGAAAAATAACAAAAGCTAAAATGACATCAGTAGCAGGTCATGTCTATACTTGTGAATTTGAACGTGCTTTTCAAAATTGGTCTGTAGATCCAAGAGATTTATTTAATTGTAAAGTTATCAAAGTAGAAGCTAATCCTAAAACACATATTCCATCTCATTTAAGAAATGAAGCAAAAGGATGTAATGGATTAGTGTTATGGCTTGACTGTGATAGAGAAGGTGAAAATATTTGTTTTGAAGTAATGGAGAATACTGTAGATTATATGACTAAAACATGTAAAATTTATCGGGCTTTATTTAGTTCCATCACGAAAAAAGATATTACTGAAGCATTTAATCATCTTGGACAACCAGATGAAAGACTAGCAGAAGCTGTTGATTGTAGACAAGAGATTGATTTAAGAGTTGGAGTTGCTTTTACTCGTTTACAAACTAAGTTCTTAAAAGAACGATTTCCCAAATTAGGAGATTCTTTAATTAGTTTTGGACCTTGTCAAACACCAACTCTTGGATTTTGTGTTGATAGACAAAAAGAAATTGACAATTTTGTTTCAAAACCATTCTATACTCTTAAAGTTATACTAGAAGATCATGAAGGAAGAAATAAAACTTTAAAATTAGATAAATGTTTTGATAATAAATCTGATGTTGATGATATTGTTAAAAGTTGTAAAGGGGTTCAAGGTAAAGTTATTAAAATGAATGTCAACGAATTAAAAAAATCAAGGCCAATAGGTTTAAATACTGTAGAAATGTTAAAAGCAGCATCCATAAAGTTAGGACTTGGTCCACAAGATACAATGCGTATTGCAGAAAAGTTATATACAAGAGGTTATATTTCATATCCAAGAACAGAGTCAACTAAATACTCTTCTTATTTCAATTTTGATGATATTCTTAATAATTTACAAGAAACAAATCAATTTAGAGAAAAGGTTCAATTAGTAAAACAAAATGGAATTAATATTCCTCGTAATGGAGAAGATAAAGGAGATCATCCACCTATTACTCCACTAAATTATCCAAATGAATATTTAAATGATTCAGAAAAGAAATTATTTGATTTTATAACAAATACATTTCTTGCTTCTATTTACAAAGATTCAATCTTTCAAAAAGTTAATGTTTCTATTCAAATTGGTAATTACACATTTAATGGAAGTGGAAAAGTATTAAAAGATCCTGGATTTAAGAAAATTATTAGTCGTTATGATGAAGATGAAGAAATTAAAGATTCTGATTTGATAAAACCAACTTCATTTATTGAAGGAGATATAGTTATTCCTTCTATGTTTGATATTGTTAAAGGTATGACTACATGTCCAGATTATTTAACAGAATATGAATTAATTTCATTAATGGAAAAGAATGGAATTGGAACAGACGCAAGTATTCCTGTTCATATTCAAAATATTATTACACGTGAATATGTTAGTTTAGATACCTCAAAAAGAACTCTTAGACCAACTAAAATTGGACTAGCATTAGCTAAGACATTAGAAACTGTAGATAAAAACCTTATTACTCCACAAATTAGAGCACATATCGAATCAATGGTTTCTAGAATAGCAGAAGGAAAAGCACAATATGAAAATGTCCTTGAAGAAGCTTTAGATACATTTGAACAAAATTATTTGATTTATAAACAAAATTTAAAAGTTCTTGAAGAGAATTTCGCACCGTTATACCAAGTTCAAGAACAAAGTAGATTATTTAGCAAATGTGGAAAATGTGGAAGAATCTTATTAAAAGTTATAGGAGATCAAACATATTTATCTTGTCCAAATTGCTCTTTAAAATTTAATTTACCTCAAAACGTATCATATTCACAACAAACAAAATGTTGTCCTATTTGTAAATTTGAAACTATTATGACTTCATCTCTTAAAAGTACTAAAAAAGAAATGGTGTGTCCTGGATGTTATAATGAAAAGAACCAATTTATGAAACAAGAACATAGTTCTTGTTTACAATGCTCTAATCCTGAATGTAAGTTATCATATGAAAGAACAAAAACATGTTTATGTAGTGTGTGTGGTGGGGTAATGTGTTTATCTTCATTACAAAATAAATGGAGTTGTTTTTGTAACACTTGTGATAGTCATATGGAATGGATTGATACCATAAAAAAAGCTCTTCCAAATGATGAAATTTGTGGAAAATGCAAAACGTATCATCTTGTAGATCTTACAATGAAAGACAATACAGTTATTAAAGGGTGTATGAATTGTGATTCAACAATTAAAAAATTATATACTATCAAAGCTGTTTTTTATTCAACCCCAACACGAAAAGGTAGACATTATAATACTTCAAAAAGTAGAGGAGGATATACGTCTCACGATAAAAATAAATTCTATAAACATACATCAAGAACTGGTAAGTAAAAGAGAAAATGAAATTAATTTCCTTTTTTTTTAATGAATTAATTTATTCTTTATTTTCAATCTCTGAATCATCTTCACTACTTTCAGAAGATGAAGATGAGGAATTACTAGAGCATATTGTTGCTTGTTGTTGAATTGGGAGTGCATTTTGTTTAATAACAGAATCTTTTGTAATAACAATACAGTTAGAAAAATTATATTGCTTTACTACATTAGTCTCTCTGGCATCAATTTTTCTTATTAAATTACAACAAAGTAATGTTTCAATAGATTTATCAGTCACTTTTGTATGACGAAGGTAGATAACTTCTAACCATTTGCTTTTTAATATTTCTTGTACTCCATTATCATCAACACTAGTAAATGATAAATCAAGTCGTTTTATTTGTTCAATTTGAGCTATATACTTCCATCCCATCATTCCAATTTGACTAGCACCAGCTACTCTTAGTGTTTCTACAGAAAGGTCTTCCATTTCTTTTAGTGCATATTCACTAAAATTCTTACAACCATTAAAATTTAATACACGAAGACCTCTTAATGGTTCTAAAACATGAACACCCTCACCACTAATGTTTTGACAACCTTCAAAGGAAATAGTTTCCAACGAAGTTATTTTACACAAAAATTCAAAGACCTGATCATCAACTGATGTTTTGCCAAAGTCAACATATCTCAAATATTTAACCATTTGTAATGCCTCAACTCCAGGTGACGTTATTTGACTTTCTTTTAAATTTACTGAAACAAGATTAGGAAATTTACTACAAATAACAGTTAACAATGAATCATCTATTGGTCCAGCATCAACTAATAATTGTTGAAGATATTTTGGTGGTGTTCTAAAAGCATCTTGTAATGTATCTGAATTGACACGAACATTACTTAATCTTAAAACTTCAAGATATTTCAGAGAGTTTAATGGTGATAAAATTTTTATACCATTACAACGTGAAATATCAAGAACTCTTAAATATTTTAAACGGGCAACAATCTGAAGACCAATATGAGTAACCATAGTATCAGAAATATTTAATTCTTCTAGAGAATTACGGATTGGACCTGTTTTGAAGGGAGTTAATGAATAATCAGATAATGTTGGGCAACCTTTAAGTGATATTCCAAGTAAATTATCCATTCGAGCAAGAACATCAAGGTGATAACTTGTAACTTCACTTTCATTTAAATAAAGATATCTAAGAGAATTACATCCAGCAAGATAAATAAAACCATCTGAAGGGGATAATTGAGATAATGGTGTTTGAGCTGAAACACCACTAATTGGTAAATGACAATGAGTAAATCCAATAAAAACAAGATAAGGGAATAAATACAAATTATAATAAAATTCTGGTCCAAGAGGAGCATTAGAAATTTCAAGAGAAGTCAACTGACTAACATCAATCAGATCTTCAATTTTACCAATAAATTTTTTTGATGAAATAGAAAGTTTTTTTAATCCAGTTAATTTTCCAATAGAAGGAATATCACTATCAGTTATATTGTAAATTTGTAACGAAGTAAGTGAAGTATATTTTGTAATATTTTGAACAGAACCACTTACTATTTGTTCTACTCCATATGGTGGTATAACATTTGGGCATTCAAGTCTTTTGAGGGTGTATAACTCATCTAATGTGTCTTGTGAAATTTTACCACATTTCAAAGAAGTTAAATTACTCAATCGTGTAACTAATGCACTACAATCCATTTCAGAATTAGGATCAACATTTAATCTTTTAATTTCTCTAAACAAACTAGACAACTTAGGATTAGGTTCAGTAACTGTCAATTCAGGAAGTGTTTTTAAATAATCCTTCCAAATTTTACAAACAAGTCTACATTTCATTAAATCTTTTTGACTTAAGTACCCAAAGACCTTATGAAAATCGTCTTCACTTAGATTGTTAATAGACCAATTTTCATGAAAGGTTGTGAGTTCAATTGTATGGTCTTTATTTTGTTCGAGAAATGAGTTATTTGTTTGTTGAGGTTGAGAAGAAGATTTAAACCAGTTCCACATCAGTTAAATAAATAAGTACTATTTTTAAGATTCATTTTCATCTTATCTCTAGATTTTAAAAGATCTACCAAACTTCCTTTCTTGAAACTTCTTTTCACAAAAACATTTTTTAAACTAAAAAATAAAAAATTGTTTTCAGTTTATTAATTTCTTAATAATTAAGAACCCAATAAAAATTAACACTAACATAACAAGAGTCATTGTTAGTGATGAGTTAGAGCTAGGCCTATGACTTATTTTATTTACTGGAAATGTCCTTGTAGGTGATTGACAAAACTCTTGAAGTTTAGCTCTGTTGGCACCACTAAATCTATCATATTCTTGACCATTTTTAAAAAGAATGAATGTAGGCATAGAATGAACACCATACCTTTGGGCGATATCAGCACCTTGATCAACATCAACTTTTACAAATTTAATTGATGGATTTGTTCTTGCAAGTTCTTCAAAATAAGGAGCAATCATTTTACATGGACCACACCAAGTAGCAAAAAAGTCTACCAAAACATTGGGGTGTGAGGAAATAAATTTATTAAATGATAAAAGGGAATTGATATGTTCTACAGACATTTATAATAAGTTATTTTTAAGTTCTTTAATTTATTTATTGGTATATATAACGAAAAATAATAAAAATAATACCCTAAAACATCATCTCATTGATCAAATAAATAAGTAATGGGGAAGTGTTGTCAACTTATTATGGGGCCTGCTGGTTCTGGAAAATCAACTTATTGCAAATATATGAAACAGTATTTAGAAGACCTTCATAGAAAACCATTTATGATTAACCTTGATCCAGCGATTGATGAAAGTTATTATGATATTGATATAGATATTAGAGATTTAATTACAGTTGAAGACGTTATGAGTGAACTTCATTATGGTCCAAATGGAGCGTTGGTGTATTGTTTAGAATATTTTTTGGATAATATTGAATGGTTTGAAGAACAACTTGGAGATTATGACGATGATTATTTGATCATTGATTGTCCAGGACAAATTGAGTTATACTCTCATCTTCCAGTCATGTCAAGATTTGTTGATTTTATGAAAAGAGAGAATTATTTTGTTTGTTTATTTTTCAAATTTTATATCATTACAATATTATATAAGTATTTATGTTTTAGATGTGTGGTGTATTTTTGGTTGACTCTCAAGTATTAACTGATTCTGCTAAATACGTGAGTGCAGTTTTATGTTGTTTGTCAGTCATGACATCCCTTGAAATTCCACATTTAAATGTACTTTCTAAAATGGATTTATGGAGTAAAAATATGCAGAACACTGAGACATTTTATGACTTCTTAGAAAATGATCCACTTTTTACTAGCTCACTAGATGAACAAGTGGGAGATCGTTATCATAACTTAAATGTTGCATTAGTTGAATTAGTTCAAAGTTATTCACTTGTTGGATTTAGTCCATTAAACATCAAGAATGAAGAAACTATTGATGTTCTTCTTCAAAAAATTGACACATGTCTTCAATATTACGATGATGCAGAACCACAAGAACCAAAAGATGAAGAAGAAATGAATGATTTAGATTGATTTATGTTATTTTCTATTAGATTTTTTGTTATATATTTTAGTTGGACTTCAAAAAAAGTAATAGGAATTGAAAATAAATAGATCATTTTAACTATGAGTAATAAAAGGTATTATGAATAATAAAAAATATTATAAATAATAATAAAATAGGAGAAAACCTATTTTTTTCAAAAATAACCAATTTAAACCTAAGAACTGAAAGACCCAAACAAACCTTCATTTAGAAATGGAAGCTGACCACCAACAACTTGCTATCGCTTTTGCTGCTCTTCTTATTCATGGTTGTGGAAACGAAGTAAATGCAGAAAGTATCCTTGCTGTCACTAAAGCTGCTGGTATTCAACTCGAAGGATGGGTCAATGCTATGGCTAAAGCTTTCAATGGAGAAAAAATTGAAAAGCTTCTTGAAGGATTCTCTTCAGCTGCCCCAGTTGCCGCTCCAGCTGCTGCTGTTGCTGCACCAACTGAAACTAAAGAAGAAAAGAAAGAAGATAAAAAAGAAGAAGAGGAAGAAGAAGACTTCGGAGGATTCGGTGATCTCTTCTAATCAAATGGTTCGTTGTTGATTTAATTGTTATTGTATTTTTTTGTTAACTAATAAATATTATACAAATGTATAAGTAATGAAAATAATAATTTTTTATTGTTTCAATGAAAAGTTATTGATAAATTGTAGTACTTTCTGACTATCTTTTACTAAAAAACCTAGTCATTCTAAAAAAAGTAATTTAAACCTAGAACTTCTTTTTAAATTAAACCTTCATCCTAAATGGAAGCTGTTCATCAACACCAAGAACTCGCTGTTGCTCTTGCTACCCTTCTTATTCATGAAGCTGGAAAAGAAATTACTGCTGAACATATCAACAATGTTCTTCATCACGCCAACGTTAAGGTTGAAGGTTTCTGGCCAATTGTTATGGCTAAAGCACTTGCTAATGCTGACATTGAAGATTTAATTATGAATACTGCTGCTCCAGTTGCTGCTGTTGCTCCAGCTGCCGCTGCAGCTACTGAAAGTGAAACTAAAGAAGAAAAGAAAGAAGATAAAAAAGAAGAAGAAGAAGCTGAAGAAGACTTTGGTGGATTTGGTGATCTCTTCTAATCAAGTTATTCGTTGGTATTTTTTGTTTATTACAGTAAAAATATAATAAATAAAAAAAGGGTTTTGATTTAATACAATTAGTTAGTTACTTGTTGTAATGATTCATATTGTTTTTGAGTGTTTGAATGACGACGATGTTTAATAAAGGAATATGTACATTCAACAGTCAGGAGAAACACACCAATTGTTACAAACACAGCAAACACACAGACCCATGCAATTAGACTTCCTTCTTCAAACTGAATTTCTTCACTTGATGACATTTTTTTAATATATTGGTTTAAATTAGAAGATGAAAAGGGTTTTTAAAAGAAAATTTGAATCAAAAGTGAATTTTAGTAAAGGTGAACTAAATGAAATTTGCTTTTTTAAAAAAGAGAGTCAATCCAAACGAGTATAACTAAATCTACCATTTGATAGGAAGTTTTTATAAATATTTCTATATAGAAGTTGAATATCAATTAGATGATGAATTATTGCTGAGAAGACAAGTACTAACGATGTTAGTATGGTTAATACAGTAGATGAATAATACCAACCATTTAATACTTTCATTAGATGGTCTTCACATAAATTACACTTTTTTTGAAGACACCCACATTCTTCTTTTGATTCATTTTTATGACAGCAATGTGTCTATTAATGAATATAGGTTTTGTTATTTGAAAAAAAAAAGGAAGGAACAAACAATTCTTTCATAATATAACATTGTAGGATGGTCAACTCCATCGACACTGTCTTGGAATGTAAATGATATAATAACTGTAATAAATATAAATGATGTTAATCCAATGAATAAGGCTATATAACTAACGAATTTAGGATAAGGGATATCTTTTCTTCTTATTATTACAGAACAAAGGGAATGAGTAAAACAAATAAAACACAATAATACACCATAACAACATGTAATAAAACGAATAATAAACACATTTTCATTGTGAATGATTCCTCCAATAGAAGTAACTATCCCCATAAAAACAATAAGCATAGAAAGAATTGATATACATAACTCGATAATATTATATTTTGATTCAATTGGAAGGTAGCGAGAGAAGTCAGTATTTCTTTCCATAAATAAGTAGTATTATTTGATGATATTAAGATTTTTGGTTAACATAAAAAAAATAACTAAAAAAAAAGAAAGTATTAGATTGGGATAATGTTGTTCTTTTCACAATAAACTTTCATTGGGATTTCAAGATTATATAAACTGTTAATCACTGTAACATTTTATAATGATATTGATTTAATCTTTGAAAGATAGCCATTATATTTTTCAAGAATAAGATTAAGAGTTGACGATGGAAAAATAAGAGTTGGTTGTTGTAAACATTGTCTAATTCAATAAATGTAATGATTTATAATGGGATAAATCAATAATTTTTATATTATTTAAAATTTCTATTAAATGTAAATGATGAAGATTATATAGTTAATAAGAAGGAAGTTATTTGAGTAGAAGTAAGTGTTAAAGAAGTTGGTTCTTTTAAACTTATATATATATTCAATTGTTTATTAACATTAGATAATTCAAATTGTATAAGGTTTGGTAGAAATTTAAGAGAATTAGAATGACAAAATAAAAGAAACTAAGCACATGATGGGAAGTGAGTAGAGAAAGATTTTGAAATTCAGTTTTAAATGTTTTTCCAGTTAAAGATATTAATGTAATAAATTAAAAGATTCAAAAGAAATATAATAACTTGGTGATGTTAATTATCTAACATTTTGTGCATTATAAATTTCCTATTTAATTTAAACATAACTAAACCTGTAACTAAAGATGGAATTTTTATATCATATCATTTTGAATTATCGTTATATTTTTATGGAATAGGAATGACGTTATGTATAAATAAAAGCAATCTCTAAGTATTGTAAGTGAAGTTGAATAATTAATTGAGTACTTAGAATAAATTTGGATTTCTTGTAATTGAGTGAATGAAGAAAAATCAAAATACAATTGTGTCACCCTAATTAAATTAACCTTAGATGAGAAGTATATATCTATTATAAAAGAACTAAATCCTTTATAATAGTTTAATTCTAAATATTTATCAAATAATAATAAAATTGAGTCATCAATTCCATTAAACCATTACCAAAACAAATTATAAATTTTGATTAAATAAAAGGTGTTTGAAACTTCTTTAATAGATTTTTCATCAGAAAGAATAAGTGCTTTATTTTATGATCCCAAAGAATTTTTATAAGTGAAGAGTTAAAATAATTAATCATTTGAGTATTAGTTCTTTTTAATTGATTAAATTGAGTTATAAAAAATCATATAATTGAAAGTCTTTCAAAATTTAATAAGTAGTTTATTTAAACGAATAAATTGAATAAAGTTAAGCCTTTGTTATGTTTGAGTGCATATATACATTTAATTTGTAATTTTTTTGAGTAGTATAATAATGTCAATAGTTGTATCTCCTTTTTTTTAATAATCATATTATTTACTATTTTGGTAGAATAGATTTTATATATAAAATTTATATACTTCAATACACTTTCATTAAATGTTATTGCTGTGATATTATCAAATAAGTTACACACTAAGAGAAAGTAACTTATTTGTTCAAAATAATCAATACTTTGAAATTGATTTTGATAATGGAAAAGAAGAGGGTTTTTAGACAATTTCTTTGTAATTCCTTGACATTTCTTATTAATACAAATAAAGAGTAAAAAATGTTTGATACTTGTAAATAAGAAACAATAAATGACAAAGGGAGTTGTTCAAAATGTATTTCTTTGTTATTCTTTTTTTTTCAGTTCTTCTTTCAAAACAAAACAAATGAAAACAGACAATTGTTGTTTAGGATACAAAGGACAGAGAAAAAATAACCACTAGAGTTACTGAAATGATCATTCCTGAGTTTGGATAATAGGAATAACAATCACCTTCTTCATTAGGTAGTTGATAAAGTAAAGATGGTAGTCTTGAAAGACATGATAAGCAATTTTCAATGTCATCGGTTAATAAACAATCTGTTCTTAAAGAGTTAGAGCATTAAAAAGAAAAGAGGAAGAAAAACTAATAAAATAAGTAAGAGTAGTTCTTGTTTTATTTATTTCAATTTACTCAGGTGAGATTACACCACATCCTTCACTCTCTACCGAGTCATGTTCATGAGGTAATTCTAATCTCTATACTTACATCCATGGTCACCACAGAATTTCATTAGGTCTTTCATGTTTATAATTATTATATCTTTTACTATTATTTCATAAGGAATTCTTATACTTTGTTTTTTTAACATTCTTATTGATTCTTTATTGACTGATCAATTTATTGTTATTACCACTGAAATTACTTTCATTTTATTTTATTAATTTGTATTATTTTTTTTCTTGGAGAGTTCTGTACATTTCAAGTTTGTTAGTAAATACAAGAACTATCTTTTTATCAAAGATTATTGTCATATCATTTAATATTCATACTTATTTTAATTTATCTTCTATATAAATATATGATATTTTATGAAATTTTCACTTTTATTAACTATTTGATGATTCAATACAATGAACACTTCATTATTTTATATTCTTCTTTTGAGTTTACCCATTTCATTTTTATTAATATTAATATTAATTTCATTTTATTCTATTTTATTTTATTCTCTATTTCTTCATCACTTATTATATTTATTTTATATTTTAATTTATCACATCTCCAGATATATTCTCTTATTATTTCATGTTTATCAATTTGTACTTTCTTATTTACAATATAATTTAATAATATATGTTCAATTGTTGATATTTTATCATTATAAATACTATATCATTTTAAATTATTATTTTATGTAAATAATGCATTCTTAATCTATACAAATGTACCATTTTGTTGCATTAATTTTAATTAATTATAATCATTTCATTTTATATTAATATTCATCATTATTCTACTTGTTAATTTCATATCATTCATTTCATTTTTAAAATATTTTATTAAATGAATATTTACATTATTTCATTTCAATTTATTAATATGTATTTCACTAACTTTATTATTTAAATATTTTAATACTGTAGATGGTTCATTCTTATTTTGTAACAATAACTATATTTCATTAATTTCATTTTTATTAATTCTCTTCCCACATGATTTATGAAATCTCTTCCAAATTCAATTCTTATTCATTTTCATCATTTCCATTCATAATACATTATTGTTCTTATTAATTCTAATGCATATTCATCTCTTAATGATATTAATCAATCAATTAATTTATCTTTATTAATATACAATCTTTATTTAATGCTTTTGAGTTGATATTTGCCTCTCGTATCTTCTTTGTAATGTATAGATCCATTTTATCTAATTTATTGATTGATCAATGGATCATAGATGCAACTATCTAAAAATATTGATAACTTATATACAATTGTATTGATGTAATTTCTATTACTTTCATTCAATTTATTGATGATGTCTATTTTATCTATTATTCATTTTCTATTTTATTTATACATCTTACATCATTGCTCTTCTCATATTTGAATACACATTGATATTTGTAAGAATTGGATTCATCTATAACTGAGATTTCAATCATATTATCAATGATTGTAATATTTTATTTTATAATTATTCCATATTTTTTAACATTTACCTCAATCAATATTCATTTAATTACATCAATAATATTTTGGTTGAACACTTCCATTACTTTATTCAAATCATATATGATTTTTAAATTATCAATGTATAAAGTGTGATCTACTTTGTTTGAATTAATATCAATATCATTTAATTATCTGATATGATATTTTGTTAGATAATAAATAACAATGGATGGAATCGCCTTGTAATACCCAGCATTTTAATTTAACATACTCTAAATTATTATTGTATATATATCACATTTTAATACACGATCTATTGCACATACATTCAATTAAATGGCATATTGTATTATTAATATTAAAATATTTTAATAAATATATTATCTATTGATGATTCACACAATCATATGTATTCTTTATATCATAGAATGCCTCAATAACTCTTTTCTTTTTTAGATTCCATTTCTTGCATTCTTAGATAACCTTTAATGATGCATTCTTTTGCTGCTAATCACCTTTCTTTACACCATATTTGATTTTTATCTATTTTGTATTTAACATCATTTATTGTAATTGGTATTTGATTTTACTTTTAATGAATGATGTGAATATTTTCATTATTACATTAAGACAACAATTTGTTTATAGTTTTCTTGTGATTTAGAATCACCAAAATTGTAAATTAATGATTTCTTTCAAACTACCATCTACATGAGGATACTTTGTTGGTACTCTAACCATGATTAGAATATTTCTAGTAATTTATCTCTGTACCCAGTTAGATGCTTCAAATCATTGTATTCAATCAATACCAGGTACTTTCCTTGCAGGGATTCTTTTTAGGAAGTATTAAAAATAAAAGAAATAATAGAAAAAAAAACAAATGAACACACTCACTATCAACTAATTGGTATCCTTCATAACATTTTTCACATTCATCTGGGTTGACTCTACACTGAGAACAGTTAGATATTTTACATTCCATACAATTATTTTCTAAATTTGCATTAAGTGAAGAACACTCTAAACATTGTTTTGAAGAAGAAATACATGTTTTACATTGTTTGCATTCATATTTATCAGTTAAGTAATATCCATTATGACATTCAACACGTTGAATAACATCGGTTTTTGAAGAATGAAATGACTTACATGAAGATTCTGGTTTAAAACAAAATTTTCCATTACTTTCAAAAATATATTTTCTTCACATTCACTACAAAATTCTGTTCCATCAAAATAACTAACACAATAACTTTCCCCACAAGTATAAGATGAGTCATCAAACATACAATAATTATTACATGTATTACATGCTTGAAGAGATGCTGTTGGATTACAAAATGTTTTTTCTTCTTTAGAACACATTAAACATGTTTTATTTGAAGAAACTTAATATTCAGAATCACTTTCTGAACACTTTCCATTTGAATTACATTTTTTTTACAATTATCTGGACATACCGAACGTCCTTTAGTTTCATTAAGAAAATATCCAGAAGAACAAACACAACATGAGATTTCATATTATAAATTGAACAACCTTCTATTAATGTTCCGTGAAGACACTATGACCTATTGAGATGTACTAAATTTCCATAATAAACTTCACATTCACCAAAATAATTTTGAATGAGACAGTTTTGAATTTAAATCACTATTTAATAAATAATCTTTATTATTCAGAGGGTAATAATAAACTATCGCATTGATGAGTAGAAGTGTGAGTGTAAATCCAGTATCACATGACTCACAAAGAAGTTTATCTAATACATATTTTGAACAATGGGGTGTGTATTTTTTTTATATCTTCCATGAGCAGATAATAACTTGAGTGACAAGAATAACAATTATTATCTTCAGAACATTCATTACAACCTTTTTTTACAAGCTACAACAAATTAACATTCTTATTCAATGATAAACGTATACATAAAACTAGTAAAAACAAACAAATACAATCATTTGAATCATTAATTCTTGTTCCTGATGGAAACAATAAACAAGTATCATTTTTATATGATATGTACCCACTACTATTTCCTATTCTAGTCAGAGTTATACAAAAAGGATATTAATTAGAAATAAATCAAACTTAAACAATTATCACCAACAAGATGATACCCATAATGACAAACAATACATTTACCATTTGTGTCAATTTCTATACAATTGGAATAGAAGTTTTTAAAATCTAGATATCATTTTTTGTTGTTTCTAAATTAAAAATTGAATAAACAAACAAATGTACTCCCCTTCAATAAGGAGATATTGTGGAAACATAAAGAACATTCATATTTGTCATCACAATATTCGGGACAATAAACTCAAAATGGTATCCACATGCTATTAACGACTTGACTCTGTGCAAATGAAACAAACAGTAAAATTAAATTAACAAGGTTCATTCAACTAAAAAATTTTTAAATTGAATGAAAGATCAGATAAATAATGTTCTCAAACTTAACTAACGCCTTTATAAAAATCACTATTTTTTGCATATTTTCATTCAAATTATTATAGGAAGATTCTATATTTTATGATTATTTGAATTATTAAATTAACTATTTATTAAAAGCTTTTTTTATCTTTTGAAATTATAATATTTTTTTATCTTTTTTGAACAAATAATTTGAATAAATCACAATAAAAATTAATATGTAAAGCTATTTAAAAAAAGTGTAGTGATGTTGATTTAAGTTTTAACTCAGGGAATTTTATTCAAGAAATTACCTCATTCGTACTACTTTAAAACTACCTCATTAAATCTGAATCTATCTGGAAAACCAATCCCTGTAAACAACGACCTTTTTACTGATTTATGTTCATTCTAAAATAAATAGAAATTACTTGAAATATAACAATCATCTATCTGAATAATAAAATGTAAGTACAATAATTATAATCAAATTTATAGATAAACATTTTTTATCTTTATTTTTCTTTTCCATACTGTAGTATATTTAAAAAATTATTTAATGAAAAAACAAATACCTTGTTAACACAACACTAACTCGATCTGATTGGTTTTTCTAAATCTATCAAAAATGTTAGTGTTATCACTGAATAAACTTGTGATATTTTCTCCTTTTACCAATTACTTCGGAAAGACAACCCCCTCTTCCTAATCATCCTAATTAATAATTTTTCATTAAATCCTATTTTTTAATAATATTTTGTCTTTGGAATTGCTATCTTATTTGAAAACTCATTTTAACAGTTTTCTTTATCTACTATTTTATATCAATGTCTTTCCACTTTTCTTATTTATTTTTAGTTACAACAATTCCCTAATTCCATGCTTAATTAATTCTATTTCATAATGAATGTCAACGTATTTACTAATCTTTTGATAGCCTATTTCTATAAACGAATAAGATTACTTAAAAGTGTATTGATAATTTATTGATTTTTATTTTTTTAAATGAATAAGTTGTTCTTGGAAGTATTTTTCGATACTCCATCTCGCAGGTATTTGAAAATACAAACAGCAATTAAAGAGAGTCTTTTAGTACTTGTTGTTTAACTGGTAATGATAGGGATTCGTTAATGGATGAAACATTTAACGCACTGTGAAAAAGACAATCGTTTTTAACGTTTTTAGTCTTTGGTCAAATTAAAGTGTTGTACGTTCATTATCAGTTTTAATAAATTTTATTTTTTCTGTTTGTTAAAAAAGCTTGAATGAAAAATTTAACATTTGAATTAACCACTATCTATTTTTTTCTTTACTCATCTGATAATTCAATGAACTCTCCAATACCTGATAAACAAGTCTCAGAAATTGTTACTCCATCACAAATTCAAATTATTAATCTTCGAGCGTTACAAGGATTTTTTCCAATTATTGAGAGTGTGATTATGAATTGTGGAGTAGTTAGTGTTTATGAATTAAGAAATGAAGTTGGAAAAGAAATTAATGATGTTGGATGTCGTGGACCATTGTTTTTAGTTCAAACAAGACATAAAGAATTGTGGTTAGTTGTTATGAACCAATCATCATTTGGGACATACCATACTATTGTTTCAGAACAAACACAATTTCAACAACAAGATCGTTATTTAACATTAACTCATTCAGATAACCAATGCTTAGTTCAATTTTGTTTTATTTCACAAAGTGCAAATGAAGAATGTACTAATGTAGTTAGTAGACTTAGAACGGAATTAAGTGAGTCAGTGAGATTTGATAGATTTTTAAAACAAGCGGTGACATATTGTTCAATGTAACATCTATGAAATGAATATTTTTGTTATTTAATGGTTATAATAAGTATTTTTATTAGAAATTAAACTAAGAACTTAAAATTAATAAAATGGCTTCTATTCTTTACACACTCAATTTTGCTATTTGTGTTATTCTTATTATTACTTTAATATTATTATTAATTCCTATTCCCAATATTGTTAAAAAACAAATCCTTAATTTAAGTCATTGGATTATTAAGAAAAGAATATTTTCAATTACTTTATTAGTCATTGTTTTTATTCTTTTTGTTGATGCATTTTCTAGAATGAAACATTACGAAGGAATTAAACAATCATTAGCATTTGATGCTCCAATTAATACACGTATTTCAACATATTCAGAGTTTGTTTAATTATTTTTTTAGTTATTTAATGGAAAATAACATTTTAGATTATTTAGAAGTCAAAGAAATACTTACATTACATTTTTCAATTTATTCCTTGTTTTAGTTAATTGGAGAGTTGGAGCTATGGTTCGTAAAGTAATTAATTAAGTATTTGGACATCATGAACTTTCAGTTATCTTTTAGAAATTCTGTTATATTTCATTATTATAAAGTTAAAAAAATAAATAGGGCTTTTGTAAAATAAAAAAGAACTAATATTTTATTTTTTATGAGCACTAAACAACCATCTCAAATTATTTCAAATCAGAATGTTCAAGGCAAAACTAAAAAACAACAACAACAACAACAAACAAAAGGAAATAAAGATGAAAAACAAAAACAAGGAAAAACAAAAGAAGAAAAAAAAGAAGGTCAACAAAAAGTTGATGGTGTTCCACAATTATCTAATAAAGAATTAAAAGCTTTAAAAAAACAACAAAAACATGATAAAAAAGTAGCTAAGTTAGGAGAAAATATTCAAAAATCAAAAACAGGAGAATCTCAAATTATTCAACAGGTTGATGCAATAGAATTAATGTTAGGAACAAAAAAACAAATGCCAAATGTTGAAATTAATAGTACAATTCATCCATCATTTGCAAGATTTGCATTAGAATGTTCTGAATATAAATGTGTTGGTAGTACTATTCGAGCATTAAGATTTATTGAATGTATTATTCAAACAATAAAAGCAAGTAAATTAACACAAAGTTCTGAATGTATTCCATTAATTGAAGAAAATGTTAAATTATTAGAACATGCACGAACAATTACTGTTGGAATGAATAATGTTCGTAAGTTTATTTTTATGAAGAATCAAAGTATTGAAAATATTATTGCAACAGCACAAACAATTTCATCTAATATTATTGGAAGTCAAAAAGAAATTGTATCAAGTAGTTTGTTATTTAAATAAATAATAAATAATAAAGAAATTAATGAAATTATAGTGGTTGATTCATACAAATATGTTAATGATGGATCTGTAATATTAACAATTAATTATAGTACATTATTATTAAACATTTTTAAAACAGCATTTACTGATACAAATAAATTTAGAGTTATTGTAGTTGAAACATCACCTTTTGAAGAAGGAGCAATCTTTGCACGAGCATTAAGTGAAATTGGAATAGATACAACATATATTCTTCCAAGTGGACTTCAAGTAGTTTTAGCTTCTGTTAATAGAATATTATTATCAGCAAGTTCTATGGATGGAAAAGGATCGTTGTATACAAGATCAGGAACGGCATCAATCTTAATTAGTGCAAAAAGTAAACACATTCCAGTTATTGTTTGTTGTGAAACATATAAAATGACAGATGAAATTATGAAGAATGAAGGAGAAATATGTAGAATTGGAAATGGAATTACATTATATGATGAAATTCCACATGATTTTATTACAGTTGTTGTAACTGAATTTGGATGTATCCCAGCAACTTCTATTCCAGCTGTAGTGAGAGAATTACGTTGGGATTCAAAAGCACTTTCACAGGAAAAATATTAATTGAATATTTTTGTTTTTTCTTTGGAAGTTATATTCAGAAAATACATACTATTAACAATTAAATGAATCATTACTTTATTTATAAAGAAGTAGTAATTAGATAATACATCATTAATAAATACTTTTAAAGATTATTTCATTATTCTTTATTTGTAAGAAGAAAATTTAGAATAATTTTAAATAAGTATTTTGAGTATTTATAAATACAATCTATAACACTATTTATTTTAATATATTCATTTTTATCTCTGAACTTCTAATAACAAATTCTATCTTCATTTTTGAACACATAAATGAAAGATAATATTTGTATAATTATAATAATTTCAAATATATAGAACAAAATAAAATTTCTCTTTATTTTTATAGTACATTCAAGTGATTATCTGTAATATATTGTTTAAATAGTATTCAATTGTTTTTAATTCAATATAAGAATTAATGATGAAATATATAGTTTTTAATATTAAATATTCAAATGGTTATATGGATATTCTTTACTACTGGAAAAGATACTCAAAATTTATTTTCACAAGAAATTACCACTAAAATAATTGAAAACAAATGAATAACATATTGATAAACATATGATTAAATATAAAAATAAACTTTTGGAAGATTAAGAATCATATTCAACTGTATTATTAAAACAATAAATTTGTTAATATTATCAGGAGAAACTGAATAAAATGAATTTCAATAATATTAGTTGTTTATTATATTACAGAACACTAATTTAGAGTATAGAGGTAAGATATGTCATTAGGAAATGATTGAATAGAAGTGATATTTCAATTTACTCTATGATAATTTTAATTGATAGCATCACTCAAATTGTTGATATTAATGACTTTTGAATTATTATGAGAATATTATTTACTTCATTGAATAAGTTCCTTGAAATGAAGAAAATAATTTCTAATAATTCTTTATCAAAACAAAATTAAATGAGAAACAATATAAAGTAATGAGGTTATCTTTACTTTTTTGTTTAGTTTTGAAAAAAAGGTTATAAACTAAGTTATTTTAAGAAAACAGCATCAATAGAATGTATAATTCATTATTTTGATATTATTATGAACTAACTCAATAAAATGCAAGTTATTTCTTTTTAATAATTAATGAAATTGTTAACATCCATCGTTTTTATATTAAGAGATATTATTTAAATGAAAGATAATTGAATTTTAACATTAATTCACCATTATCCGACTTAACATTAACATTGTTCTATTATAGTTTCAATACATATTTGTAGTACTTGTACAATCAATTCTAAAGATTTATCAAATAATATGACTCATCTCATTCACATTTATTAACATTAATGATAATAGAACATAACGAAAATGATTTTTTTTTCTATCATTGTTTATATTCAGAAAGTGTATCTTTCTTTCATCTTGGTTGTACATAAAACTAAGAATAATATGAATCATTATATCACCTCAACTAAAAGAATAGTTATAAAGAAATAAAAGATGAAAAACCAATTAACAGTTTTAGAATAATTAATGAAATAATGAACAATGAAACAAAATAATTATATTTTGAAATGGATTTGATTATTCAAAGAAAGAACATTGTATTTATTGAATAATGTAAAAAAAATACAAAAACAGACTTATTTAATGCAAAGGATGTGGTGATTTCAAACATTTTGTTTAATTGAGAGATGGTTTGTATCATTTGTTATTGTTATATAAATTTAGTCTATTCATATTTCTCATGTAGAAATAATAATATAATCTTCTGTTTCATTTAAAATTGAATAATTAAAAATACTAAAATATAGTTTAAAAATACTAGAATGAAACTATAATCAGATTTCTGTTAGAAATATGGGAAATAACAATGATTTTTCGGGAAGAAAAACAAATAAACAAAATAAAACTGAATAGTTATTTTTTGTATCATGAATCGTATTGAATGTAGTATGAATAGTATTCCATATACTGAATTTCAAAGAGCACAAGTTGGAGTACCTCTTTGTTTTGTTTATACGCCATTATGTAATGAAGTTGATAGATATGATATTCCAACTATATCACGATGTAGTGAATGTAAAGGATATATGAATAAATATAACAATTGGATTGTTTCAGGGAAGACTTGGAAGTGTTGTTTATGTGGACATATCAATACACAATTAACTGAACGATATCTTCAATTAACACAAGAAAGAATTCAAGAATATCCTGAGTTAGTAGTTGATGCATTTGAAATAAAAACTGATAATAATTATACCAGAAGACCAATGCAAGGGAATTGTATTTTATTTGCAATTGATCAATTTTGTTTTGAATCAGTTAAAGATATATTAATAAATATTATCCAAAAGATACCTAATAATACTCGAATTGGATTAATGATTTATAGTGATAAAATAACATTATTCAAATACTACAATAACCATTATAGTATTGATGTTTTTAGTGAAGATACAATTGAACTTATTAATAATATTAATTTATATTTACCATATATTGAAACAATCAAAAGTGAAATTATAGATAATATAAAAAAATATAATGATGAACAAAATTATGTTGGATGTTGTTTTGGAAATGCAATGAAAACAATCAATTTTATACTACAAAATTATGGAGGAAAAGTTATTTGTTTAAATGGAAGTCATCCAACAAAAGGAGAAGGAAAGTTAAATCCATTAACAAGTGATTTTAAAACATTTAAATCTAGTCATAATTCTTTTTATGATGAATTAGCTATACAAATGAATAATAATATGATTACTATTGATATGTTTTTTAACTTAAGGAATGCATTTGATACAGCTACAATCTCAGATTTTACAAGAAGAACTGGAGGTAGAGTTTATATTTGTAATTCAATTGAAGAATTATCTCAAACAATGGCAAATGATGTTTTACAAAGTTATCGACATGAAGCAGTATTTAGAATTCGATCAACACATAATTTAGCAACAAAAAAAAGATATGGTAATTATAATTTAAGAAATAATGATTTAATTGCAGTTCCATGTATTGATCCAACATCATGTTTTGTTATTGATTATGAAATATTACCAATATCTAATATAACAAATACATATATTCAAACAGTATTTCTTTATACAACACAAAATAAAGAAAGAATTTTAAGAATAGAAACAATAAAAATGTCACAAAATAATCAACCTGAAATTAATGCAAGAACACTTACTATTGCATGTAATATTATTTCATCAACAATTGGAATTAAAGAAGGAATTAAAGAAGCAAAAGAATATCTTATAAATATAGCAAAAAAAATTCCTAAATATTGTTCTCAAAGAAATGAAGCAATTTATTATTTATATTGTCTTACAAAAAAACCAGAAATGAATAAAAAAGGATATGTTTGTGCTGGGATGTTAAGAACAATAATTGGAAAAGGAGAATTTCCAATACCAGTAATGTATATTATTGATGGAAATGGCAATTATCGTTCAGTTCCATTATCAAATCAAGAAGTAAAAAATTGTATTGTACTTCTTATTATTGGAAATCAAATAATTATTGGAGTTGATAGATTATTGGAAAAGAAAATGATTAAATCATGTTTTGGAGTTTCTACAATAACTGAAATTGCAAATAATAGTTTAATTTCAAAAGAAGATAATCTTATTACAATAACTATGAGAAAATTAATATCTTCTATTGGAAAAAAGATAATTACAATTGATTGTAGTGATAGATGGAAAGAATGGTTAATAATAGAAGATAATTATCATGATGGATGGACATATCAAAAATTTTTAAATATACTTTAATTTAAAGAAAAAATTACTTAAAATATTTCTGAAGATGTTTTCTTCTTATTTCAATTTCAGAATCAGTGTTTTGTTTTCTAGTTGCATTATATGCTTCTTTGATAGTTTGATTATTTAATCGAGCAATGACATGAACTAAATAATCATTTTCAATAGATAACTCCATTTTAATTATTGGTTGTTGAACATTGTTAATAATAAAATTCCCTAATTGACGAGTTCCTTCATAAATTTCAACAATAGCATTTCCACCAACAGTTTCAGCTTCAAAACTTCTTGTTAATGGAATAGTTGAAATTTCTTTAACGATTTGTGCCATAAATTCTTGATTTTTATCATCTAATGATTTAATACAAATAGGATATAATGTAATATCACTGAGATTAGGAATAATTGATCCATCTGCTTTTGTCTCTTTACTATAACAAAACTTACATGCTCCTTCAGCTACAACAGTATTTCTATCAAAGTTTGATTCAGCTACTTTATTTTCAAATTTTTCTTTTAAAAGATTTTCAACAGCAGGAATATAAGAACTTCCTCCAACAAGAAATACTTTACTTATTTCTCTAACACTAATTCTAGCCTTTTTTAATGTTTCATCAATAACCTTTTTACATCTATTAAATATTTCTTTATTAATTAATTCAAATTCAACTCTAGTAACACCAATTTCTATACCTTCTTCTTCTTCACAATCTTGAACTTTTGATAAATTAATTGTTACATCGTCAGATGATGATAAATCAATTTTTGCTGTTTCAATTTCTTTTCTTAATGTATTTCTTTTTTTAATCTTTTTTCTTTTTGTTCTAGTATCTTCACTTTGCATTATGTTAAGTCTGTTATACAAATTAATATCCTCATCTTTAATTTTATTCAGAACTAATTCAAATAAATTATTATTAATATCAATACCACCAAGATGTTGATCTCCACTTGCACTTATAACTTTTAAATCATTACCTGTTTTTTTAAGAATAGTAGTGTCTAATGTTCCTCCTCCAAAATCAAATGCAAAAAAGTTTCCATTACTTTGATCTACTTCTTGAGCATAAGCATAAGCAGCTGCAGTTGGTTCTGGTAATATTTGAATAACATCTAATCCTGCTAATTGAGCAGCACATAATGTAGCATCTTTTTGTTGATCTGTAAAAGTAGCTGGAACAGTTATAACCACTTTAAATTTATCTGTTTTAGTGCGTGCAATAATTGCTTTCTTTACTTCATTCAAAATAATTGCACTAATTTCTTCTGGTCGTAAAGTCTCTGGTGATGAATAACTAAGTTTTATGTGAGGATTTCCTTCTTGATCAAAAATTAATCTTTCACCAAAACGTTTTTTCTCAGCTTCAATTCCTTCACTACTTGAATTTTTACCAATAACTCTTTTAATATCATAGATCATTCCTTCATGTGTACCATCAATACCAACTATAACATTGGATGGATTTTTAATATCAATCACGGAAGGAAGATATTCTTTTCCACTAAATTTAATAGTTTCAGTTTTTCCAAATTGTTTATTCCAAATAACAGCCTTTGTTCTTGTTGTTCCTAAATCTATTCCAACATAATCCTCTGAATTCATAATGAAAGAGACTAGATCTTAGTTCTATTAAATAAGAAAAAAAAAAAAAAGAAATGACTTTTATTTTGTTTCAAATTCAATTAGATAATTGTTGGATTTTTTCTTCATATTGTTGTATTTGAACTTTTAAGTCATTACATTCTGCCTCTAAAATATCAGCTTTTTCATTCATATCATTTACGGCTCTTTGATATAAAGGAATACATTCTATGAAGGTCTTGTAATTGTTCATCATAGTTTCATATTGTTCTTTGAAGTTGTTTTCTTGCATTGAATGAATGAAATAATTAATTTAAAAAAAAAAAATAATAACAAAAAAATAAAAATAAATTTTTGTGATAGAATCATTTTTGTGTTTTCATTTATTCCTTTTATTAACAAAAAGGGTTTTAGTAATGTTTTGATTTTTCAATAGTTTTTGAATATAATGTTAAATTTTGTTTTCATAAACAAGTTTATAATGATAGAAGAATAGTAAAAGTATGGTTAAAAGAGTTATAAGATTGAAGAAGAAAGAAAAAAGAACTTCAAAAAATACATTAAATGAACTTCGATACAGACAAAAAAGAAAAAGAATTTGGTAAAGTATATAGTGTTTCAGGACCAGTTGTAATTGCAGAAAATATGCTTGGAGCTGCTATGAATGAATTAGTTAGAGTTGGTAGTCAAGGATTAATGGGAGAAATTATTCGATTAGAAGGAACAACAGCAACTATTCAAGTTTATGAAGAAACTGCTGGACTTCAATTAGGAGATATGGTAGAAAGAACAATGAAACCACTTTCAGTTGAACTTGGACCAGGAATTATGACATCTATTTTTGATGGAATTCAAAGACCATTAGTTTCAATTGCAGAAAAAAGTGGAAGTATTTTTATTCCAAGAGGAATTTCAGTAGCATCACTTGATCATCAAAGAGAATGGGAATTTACACCAATAGTTAAAAAAGGAGATCATGTTAGTGGAGGAGATATTATTGGTACAGTTCCAGAAAGTGCACTTGTTATTCATAAAATTCTTATTCCACCAACAATTATGGGAACAGTAACATGGGTTGCAGAAGCAGGAAATTATACACTTGATGATAAAATAATTGGAATTGAATTTAATGGTAAAATAGAAGAACTTAGTATGGCACATCATTGGCCAGTAAGAAAACCAAGACCAACAGCAGAAAAAATTACTAGTACAACACCATTAGTTACAGGACAACGTATTCTTGATTCTCTTTTTCCATGTATTCAAGGAGGAACATGTGCTATTCCAGGAGCATTTGGATGTGGAAAAACAGTTATTTCACAAGCATTAAGTAAATATAGTAATTCAGATGTTATTATTTATGTAGGATGTGGTGAAAGAGGAAATGAAATGGCAGAAGTACTTAGAGATTTTCCAGCTCTTTCTATTAAAGTAGGAGATAAAGAAGAATCTATTATGACAAGAACAGCACTTGTTGCTAATACATCTAATATGCCAGTTGCAGCACGTGAAGCATCAATTTATACTGGAATTACATTATCAGAATATTATAGAGATATGGGATATAATGTTGCTATGATGGCAGATTCAACATCAAGATGGGCTGAAGCACTTAGAGAAATTTCAGGACGTCTTGCAGAAATGCCAGCTGATTCAGGATATCCAGCTTATCTTGCAGCACGTTTAGCATCATTTTATGAAAGAGCAGGTATGGTTGAATGTTTAGGATCACCAAAAAGAAATGGATCAGTTTCTATTGTAGGAGCTGTTTCTCCACCTGGAGGAGATTTTTCTGATCCAGTTACAACATCTACATTAAATATTGTTCAAGTTTTTTGGGGTCTTGATAAAAAACTTGCACAAAGAAAACATTTTCCAGCTGTAAATTGGAATATTTCATTTTCTAAATATATTAAATCACTTGATAGTTATTATAATAGTAAAGATGAAGAATTTGTTTCACTTCGTGATAAAATTAAAGAAATTTTACAAATGGAAGAAGGTTTATTACAAATTGTTCAATTAGTTGGTCAAGATTCTCTTGCTGAAACTGATAAATTAACACTTGAAATTGCTCGTGTTATTAAAGATGATTTCTTACAACAAAATTCTTATACTCCTTATGATTTTTCTTGTCCATTTTATAAAACTTGTGGTATTATTAGAAATATTATTCATTTTTATAATGAAGCTTTTCAAGCTCTTTCTGTTGATTATGAAGATCATAAAATTACTTGGAATACTATTAAATCAGCAATGTCTGATTTATTAGTTAGAATTTCTAGAATGAAATATGAAGAACCTTCTCAAGGAGAACAAGTTATTAATGAAAAATATGGAGAATTATATCGTGATATTACTACTCGTTTTGCTACTCTTTTAGAATAATTAAAAACATAATTTAAATTTTTTTTTATAATTATTATTTTTAATAAATAAAAAATAATAATTAAATTAAATTAATTATTATTTTTTATTATTAAATAAAAATTAAATTTTTTTATTTAAATTATATTATTCTTTATATTAAATTTTAATTCTTAATTAATATTCATTTAATATTTTTATATATTTTTAAATTGTTTATTATATTATTATTAATAGTTATACTATCTAAGAACTTTTTATTTAATTATTCTTGTTAGTTATCATTTAAATCATTTTATAAATTTATATTTTAGTAATGAGAAAGTTGAAATATTTCATTATGTAAATAACTAATTAGTAGATGAATAATATTCAAAGAACTAATATTAAGGAAATAAAATATAATGTTTTATTATAAGAAGATAAATATTAAGAATTACCAATTTTATATTTCAAAGAAAAAGTATTATTGTATTTTTTTAAGATATTATATTTCATTAAAAAATAAAAGAATATTTTAATTTAAAAAGAAATAATAATTAATAGGAAAGAAATTAAATTAAAGAATAGGTTCTTGTTGTTGTATAATTTGTTCTTTTAATGAAATAAAAAATTGATAAATTTCTTGAATTTGAGGTCTTTGTTCTATTTCTTGATTCCAACATTGTTGAATTAATGATTTGATTGATAAATCTAATGTATTAGGAATATTTGGTCGTTTTCCTTTTGAGATTTCAAAAGCTGCATCCCAAGCATTAGAAAAAGGTCGTTCTGGATATAACATTTTTTCTTGATATATTTCTAAAATACTCATTCCAAGAGAATAAATATCAGATTTTATTGTACATTCATTTCCTTTTAAAACTTCAGGTGAATTATAATATGTTGATTGTAACATTTCTTCTTCATTAATAGTTAATTTTGGTAATCCAGTTATTTGAGAAATATTCCAATAATGTCCTAATTTACAACAAATTGTTGATTGAATATTAAGTGAAACAATTAACATATTTGTTGGTTTAATATTTCCATGAATTTGTTTATTTTGATAAAGAAATTCTAATCCTTTACAAACATCTTCAAATATTTTTGCTCTTAATAATGGTTGCATTTCTCCTCTTCTATAACATATTCTTGCATTTCCATATTCTGCATATTCTAATATCATACATTCATGTTTTGGTGTTGTAACTATTCCAATAATATTAATTAATAATGGTGATCTTAATTTTGTTAATTCTTTTAAATTATTTATAAATCTTTCATATGAATTAGAATTCCATTTTAAATTTAATTGTTTAATAATTACATTTTGATTATTATATTTTCCTGTTGAAACAATACCATTACTTCCATTTTTAATAATGTCTATAAATTTAATTTCTTTATAATCAATTAAAATACTTTCTTCTCCTATTACATTAATATAAAGAGAAGTAATCATTTTATCATCTTCTTCTATATTTTCTTCTGAAATACCATCAAATGTTATTAATTGAATTGCTTCATATTCTTTACATGTACATAATAATGTAATTGTAAAATAAACAGTAATAGATGAATGTGGTCCTAATATAGCTATTCTTGGTTCACATTCAATTATATATTGTGATGATTTCGATTCAATCCTAAATGTTTTTTCTATTTCACTTGGATTATATACATTAATTTCATCATGAAATGCTTTATTTATTTGCATAATTCTTCCTTCATTTTCAAATGTTAAATTATTTTTACTTATTGTCAATGGAAAATTATTAAAATCAACTTGCATATATTTGTATATATTTCTTTTTTTTGTTTTTCTTTTTCTTGATAATATCCAAGCAGTTATAATAATTATTAGTACAAATAAAATTAATATTGTTGATCCAATACTAATTGCCATTATCCATTCTTTAGATTTAATACATTCTCCTTTTACATATAAATATCCATTTGGACAAATGATTCTTGGTTGAGGATCAATTGAAGTTTCATTAGGATTAGTGTTATTTGTTATATTCATTTAATAAATTATTCTTTTTTTTTTTTTATTTAGTTCTCTTTCATCTCTTCTTTCAATTCTTCATTTAATTTGAAAATAAAAATTAAAAAAGCTCTAGATATAAGCCACTCACCATGATAATGTCTGACTGGGGCGGCAACAATTATCTTCATTGCTTTCATTATTTTATTTATTGAATTACTATGAGATAATTATGAATAATAATATTAATTATTATGGGTTTTTAAAAATATTCAAAAAGGGTTAAAAATTATTCAAAGAAAAGTCATTGAACTTTTCAGTTTATTTTTCTTTTTTAAAAAATAATTGAATTTTCTGAAGAAAGAAACTTTCAAATATTGTTTTGTGGATAAACAGATATTTTAAAAGTTCTTTGTACAAAATACAATGATACAAGTTTGTGGTGTTATTTAAATCAAGGGTTTATTGAACTTTTTTAACATTAAGTAATGATGTTCACTTTACTATTATTGTGTGGTTACACTTTGGCTATTAATTATTGTGATTATGATGCTACTGGGAGATTTTATGCAGGAACAAATGAATGTCCACAAACAAATGGTGTTAATTATGAGTATCGTAAGATGACAATCACTGATGTTCCTTATGAAACTATCATTTTAGAAGATGTTGATTTAAATATTTTCTTTGGAACAAATGATACTTCATTCACTCCTAAAAATGTTATTATTAAGAAGTCAAAAACATTCTCAAACATGAAATATTCTTTTGTTAATGGGATATCCACCATTACTTTAGATGGTATTTTTGAACATAATACAATTAATAGTTATGATATTCAAGATATCACATTCCATATTCTTGATTTTAAAGCTACTTTTGTGAATAAAGATGATTCTAAATATATTAAAGTAATTAAAAATGGTCCAACAAATCAATTAAACACTATCACTTTTAAGGGACTATTTAATGTTAATCCAATTACATTTACTGTTAATGCTTGTGATTATGTTATGACTGGTAATGACATTACATTGGAAGATCAAAGTCATGTTTATAAATTGGAATGTGATAATCAAATTAAATACTTCTATTGTGAAGGTGTATCTCATGTTGAACCACAATGTCTTGATAATCAAGAAAAAGTATTGATTGATATATCTGTTAATGATGTCTTTACTATCTATGGATCATCTATTCAAACAATCGTTTCTAATTCTAATGCATCTACAATTAAAATTAATTCTGCAAATGATAAATCTGAAAATGTATTAATTTCTTTACAACCTCATAGTTATAATTTAAGAGTTATCAATAAGGAATCTACTGTTTATGCATCTAAAATTATTGATGGAACTGTTCAATTTAGCCAAAGTACTACTTGGAAGATAACTACAGATGCATTGATTGATTCAATCTTAGTTGATGAAAAAGATCTTATTGTTGTTGGTATGAATGGAAAGAAAATTAATAATAATAATGGTGTTTATTCTGTTGGAATAAATGGTCAATGTGAAGCTGCACAAATAGGTAAAGAGTTTAAATGTATTTCAGATGAAAGTTTATCAGATAATTCTTCTGAAAATAGTGAAACTAGTTTGTCAAATGATTCTTCTTCTATTTCTGAGTCTTCTGAAAATGTTGATAGTGAAAGTCACTTTTCAGATAATTCTTCTGAAAGTGGGGATAATGAGAGTAGTTTGTCAAATGATTCTTTTTCATCTTATGAGCCTGAGTCTTCTGAGACTAGTTCAAGTCATGGAAGTACTGAAACTTCATCAGAAACTAGTAAAACTCAGAGTAGTGAATCAAATTCAATGACTAATAATTCAGATGATAGTAATAATAATACTGATAATGATGGACTAAGTGGTGGTGCAATATTTGCCATTGTTTTGGCTCTATTGATTGTTTTGATTATCATCATTATTATCATTGGTGTTCTTGTTTATTTCTTCATCTTCAAACCAAAGAAACAATCTACATATACTGGAATTTAATCAAATTCCTTTTATTTATAAAACTTATGTTTTTATTTTTTTAATAATTAGTATAAGAGTTATCGTCATTAATGATTTACTTTAGAACGAATAATAATAGCAATAGACTCAAAACACTAACTTTCTTTAATAATTTAAAAATGAACAGAAATGGATAACAACCATCTAATATATTATTATGGTATTGTTCATTCAATAGTGGTTAATCATTTTTACTCAAATACCTTTATAACTTTTGTTGCTGAGGTTAATTCTTTTGAATTTGAATATCTAGAAACAAGCAAAACATTAAGTCTTCATTAAATGATCATTTATCAATTTTCATTATGAACAATATAATTTATTGTTAATATGATGGTTGTAAACAAATCAAAATGAGTTTATTGTTTTTTAATTTATCTTAATCTTTCATAAAACAGATATACTGTTGTGAAATTAATAAATATTTCTTATTGAGTTTGTGTTGGTTGAAGTAACTTTTCTGTTCAAGAATGTAAATTTTTGATAATGGCACTATTTTAGATTCATTGATTTACAATAAACAGTTTTCTATTTTCTAGAAATAAATTAATGAGGATAATTAAATGGAATAAAGCTTGTGTAAACACAGTGTTTGAGTAAGGCTGAATAAATAAAAAGTAACTAATTAGTATTCAATACAGAACTGACTATAGAAACAATCAATTTGGTATTAACAAAGAATTAGTTAACAAAGAATTAATAAGACTATAAGTTATTAAAATAACAATGAGTTTTAATAAGACAATACAAGAGTTATTCTAAATGGTAATATTATATTGTGTACTATTATTTGATTTCTTTCATTTTCATTTAAACTTAATTTTTGTTCATTTTATTTATTTTTATGTTATTATTTTAATTTGATAGTTGTTTTTAAAGTGAGATGCACAAATTAACAAAGAACAACACAACAAAGAAGATAATGTCAATTTAGTAACACAATTAAAGAAGAAGAAAACAAGAAAAATTGAAGAGGGTGTAATAAAACTAATGAAATTAGAGGAAAAATCTTACTTATTTCATTGCATCTATTCATAAGACATCTCTATCTGACAAGATATTCTGTACAATTCGAAACAATACATTTTTGTGTAGTTCCTGTATATTCATAAATTTGATGTTTACTAGAATTACAATAATTACCATTTTGTACTTGAGTAGATTTACAACATTTATTAGTTGATACATCACACTTACATACTGATCTTATAGAATCTCCACAACACGATGAATAACATGATAATATATTCGCATTTATATCTGTATTGAATTACATTTTACTAAATAACATGACAATTCAATATATCTGATGTTTTCACATTTATTTTATCTCTAACACTACACTTTGTTCTGGTTCACAAACATATTTTTGATAGTTGTTAGTTTTACTGTACATATATTCTCACTATGATTATCTTTCATACAAAAACTAGTAGTTTAATTACATGTGTAACTCTAACAATATCCATCAGAATTTGTTTTTAATATGCTTCACAATTAGTTTTTTGTTTACGTGTTTCAGTTATCTTCTTATCATTATGATCACAATATAGTACAATTCATTTTACTTTTTGTTGGCATGTTATTATATTGTTCAATAACATATCTTTCAATATTTCTACATTCATATGAAACTATACATCTATCTGAACATTCTTTCTTTGCTTTTGGTTTAGCTTTATGCCGTTGAATACATAACCCTGTTTCTACATCACATAATGTGTAGAAATAATCATTTTCATAACACATTGAACATGTACATCTATTCATTGAATCACAAAACCATGAACATTTATCTCTATCAAATCTTTCTGTTAAACTAGTTCTAATTCATTTGAATAATGTATTGTTTGTTGCTTTAATTTGTTTATTATCTGTAAGCTCATGATAATATGGTCAAAGTGAAACAAGTGTTAAAACACTACATGTAATCTTTTGATCTTTGTTTCTATTAAGAACAAGTGTATGAACAGTAATATTATTTCTATCAAATCCACTTTTTGCATCAAATTCTGATGCAATTCTATCCATTAACAGTATCATAGTTCCTCTTTTGATTTCTTCTTTGAAATCTTCAGATAAATCATTTATATCAATGTTAACAACTAGATCAACTTATCCTGATACTGTTGTGTATTGAGTAAGAGTAAGATAGTTTAATTCTTCTAATTTTATATTAACTGAAGAATAAGTATATCTTTATGATAATACAATGTTACTCATTTCACTGTTGTTAATTGTTGTAAAGTAGATAACATCTCTTGAATAGATTTATAACTGTAGAATCAGTAATGACATAATAATTACAAGATGAGTATTAACATTATTGGATTAATATCAAGAGTGTATTTGGATTAGTATTTGTATTATATTGACCAATAAATGCTTTGTTTTCATTGATAAATGATTGATGAAATTGATTTTCATCAAATGAAATCCATTCTACAAACATAAGTTTCTGTTTTTGTTACAATGTCGTTTTTGTATTTAAATAAACATAATTTAATGGTATTTTAGTTGTATATTTAAAAGACGTTTTTCCATTGATATCTACACTCTCAATTTGTTATTCATCAACTGAACATTATCTCAATCATCTTCATATTTTTCAATTATATATACATATTCTTTTTGACAAGAATCTTGTTAACATTAGTATCATTGATTTGTTGAACATTCACATTATGATCTTCATTATTAAATATTTTATTATTCTAAATACAAACAACAAATTGATATTAAATAATGTTAAATAATAAAGATATAACACATTGTTAATTTATTTGATGATATTCAAAATCAAAACATAATAAATTTATTTTTATGAAACAAACTGTCATGATTAATATTGATGATGAAATAATTATGAAAGATAAAGAGAAAGAAGATACAATAAACAATGAAATTCTAAATAAAATAAACAAACACATTTATTTTATCATTTATTTTGATTTTTGTTGAATGAAGTATTTTTCTTACAACATTCAATTATGAGAGTTCTCATTCATTTTTTTCATATGATTCTTTAAATAATTAGAAAAAGAGAGATTGATAAAAGTGAATGTTCTTCAAATAGAGAATGATATTATCAAATAATATTATCAGAATATTATTATATCTTATTCATTATACTCATATCATAGAGTATAAAACACATCAATCATTATTCTAAATTAAAAAATGAACAAATCAATCATTATATTTTTCAATTTATATCTGATTGAATGTCATCTTTCAAACAATAAATTGATGACTAATCCTCTTCAACATCAATCATTTAAATTACTTCCATTATTCATTATTATCAATCATGAATTATTGTACAATGAAATGATTATAAGAAAGAATTGAGATTTGATGATGAAGAACTTAACAAATATGATATAGTATCATTTCAAGAGTTGTTTGGTGCATTTCATCTAAACAAATAATCTTCTTAGAAAAACTAAAATAATAAGAATTTGTGTATGAAACTCATTTAGAAACATCAAAATTGATATTTATCGAGTTGATGATGTATGTATTTTATCATGTTTTCATATTGTAAATCAACATCAAAATATTTATACAAGATGATGTTATTCAGATGGAACATATGCAAAATGGATTATTCATGTAAAAATTGATGTTAGATTTAGAAAAGAAATACATCTGTTTTCTACACATTTCTAACAGATTATTATGAAAACAGAGAAGACAATACCAAATCAAGATTCATTGAAATAAACAAATCAATGAATGTCAATATTTTATTAATGAATGTACAACATATGATAATGACCAATTCGTATTTGAATGAACTTAAATATTAAATGAGAAACACAACAATATGATGACTTTATTACCACTCTTAATTCTAGTGAATTCAATATTGAAACACATGATTTTTTGATTGAAGATAAGAAAGTTCAACAATAACACACAGTGAAGGGATTGATGGAGAACAAATTGACACAGTCATTCATTCTAAAGTTCCAACACCAATTAATGAATGGATTATATTTGTGAGAATTAAGAAAAGAACAGAAATAAAAGAAATAAAAGCATTCAAACAAATGGATGTAACATTCAAACAATAAACAATCATTTTATTATATGTATGAACAATGACAAATAGAACTGACAATAGAATTAATGTAAATGATAAATAAAATAATAACAATACAAAGAAGATATGAAATAAGAAATGATAAAACAACAATTATTCAAATGAAAATATTATAATTTCATGAAAAAACAATAAATCATTTTTAATTTTTGATTTAAATGAAGAAGAAAATAGAATGATAATCTTAAAAATATTTTAAGTTCAAAATAAAAAAGAACTAAATAAAAAACAATAAATAAAAAGTAGATAATTAAATGTTAATAATTTTATTTTATATTGTTCCTTACTCACTGGAGATTAACTAATCCCACCACTTTGTTTTAAAAGTATTTGTTCATCAACTATTGGCTTATTCTTTGCTTTTAGTTGTTGAACTGTGAGATTTTCCTTTTCTCGTTTTGATGTGGAATAGAGTGTTTTAAACATCAATTGTTTAAATATTTATTATTTAATTTTTATTTGATTTTGGTGAGTATTAAAATTATTCTTTATTTTCTTATTTTAAGGAGAATATATAATTATTACTGTATTGCTATGAGTTGATATTCTTTTTAGTATCAACCACTAAACCCTTTTTCTTTAATAATCTTATATTATCAAATATACTTGTATTCTAACAAGTAATAATAACATCTTTATAAATACCCATTCGTTTGTTGTCAATGATATCTGTCATTGTAATAATAATCACTGTTATTCTTGCAGTAGTGATTAAGATGTTTTTCTAACTAAATGCACATCATAACCAGTCCATAACTGGTAGATTTGAATGACGGAAATATTTTAGGGTTCTGTGTGGTGTCTCTGACGTGCTACCTTCGAATCTGATATGAAAATAAGAAATGAACAAATAGAAAATAAAAATGATAAATAAAATAAAATAAAAAATGAACTAATTATAAATAAATAACAATAATATTAAATATTATTATTTTATTATTAATTTTTATTATATATTATTGTTATTTAAAATAATAAAAATAAATAACATTTAATTTAATGAATAAAAATGAAATGACATTTATTAAAATGATAAAACAATAAATAAAATAATGTGTTATAAACATATTTAATTATTTAATCATCTTATTTTAATCTGATATTCATTAAATTAAAATGGAAGAGTTAATAAACAAGAACACTCATTTCTTTAAAGAAGAAATAGAAACAATTCCAAATATTCAACAATCAATTGATGATATTAATAAACATTATCATTATTATTTAGGAAGTATTAAAAATGAAATATTTGAAATAAAACCAAATGAAACACATTCAGAAGCTATTAAAAGAGGAGAAGGAATATTTGATAGAAATGATGAAACAGAAAGAAGAAGAAAACTAATAATAGAAAAAAGTCAAGAAATAATTAAAACAATAGAAATAATTAAGCATCAAATGAACAAAATAATAGAAGAATGTAATAAAGATGAAGAAATACTAGGTAAAACACGGAATGAAATAATTAATACAATCATTTCAATTGAAGAAATGATAATGAAAGATAAACTATTCAGAACACCAAAAGAAAAAGATAAAATCACACAATCATTTAATAAAAAGAAAGAAGAATGGAACACATATTATAGTGATTATTTAGAGAGGAAGAAGAGAGAAGAAGAAGAGAGAAAGAAACAAGAAGAAGAAAAGAAGAGAAAAGAGGAAGAAGAGAGAAGAAGAAAACAAGAAGGAGAAAGATTAAGAATAATGAAAGGAATGAGTACAATTGAAGAAATGAAACAAATAGAAAAATGGACAAATAGAAAAGTATCTAATATACTATTTGATTCAGATATTGATGATTGGGATAAGAATACATCAGTATTTGATCAAAGAATAATAAATAAAGAACATATAATAATTATTATTGAAGATACAAAAGGAAATAAATTTGGAGGATATATTAATGTGAAAATTGACAATGTTGGTAGTTGGATAAATGATCCAAAATCATTTGTATTTTCATTAAAATCAAAAGGAAGAATAAAAGGAATGAATAAATTTGATATTAAAGAATCACAATATGCATTTTGTTTATATAATCAATCAAGTAATTGGTTGTTTGGATTTGGATATGATGATATTACTGTTTATAAAGAAAATAATAAAACAGAATCATATTGTATTCAATGTTCATTTTCATATAAAGAAATATCAAATGCACTTTGTGGAAAACAATATCCAGAATATTTCAAACCACAACGAATTATTGTAATTGAAATGAAATGATTTTTATTCATTATTATTTATTTGAATATAAAAACTAAAAAAGAATATAAAATAAAATCAATAAATGAATATGAACAGCCATTTCATCTATCAATAAATGAAATGGTGAAAATAAAAATGGACATATTTCATTTTGGTTTTATTTAATTTGAAATAATCATATTCATTGTGTTAATTTAATAAATAATAAAAAGAAATAAGAATAAAAGATAAATAAAAATATAATAAAATATTTATTTTATTCTTTTTTATTTATTTTTTATTTTATTTATATCATGTTTATATTTATTTATTTTATTCTTCTTTTATCTTTATATCTATTATATATTTCTTATTTTATTATTTATGTTATATTCTTATATCTTTTTATTCTTATTTTATATTTATTCATTATTATTCATTTCATATTAACATTGTTAAATAACAATACAACATATAATAAATAAATGATATAAGATAAACAACAATAAATAATAATAATAAAATATAAACAAACAATATAAACAAATATAAAATAATAAAATATCATCTAATATAAAATAATAAGAATAAGAATGAATATATTTTATTTTATTATTATATTCTCTTATTTTATTATTTATATATAATTTATGAATATTAATAAATGAAATCAATATAAGAAACATTGTTATAATATAAAAACATCATTATAATAATGAATAAAGAAATAATAACAAAAATTGAG